AAAAAAGAAACACACTACACCCGAGCTGTAGTATAAACACTAAAATTTGTTTACCATTAACGAATTGCAACACTCAAGGGGTTTATTGCAATTTGTAAGGTAGTTATAGCATTAAGGCTAAGTATCAAGGTAGTTACTGCAGTTCTCTGTATATATAAAATCGAAACATACCAAGGTTAGTGGATACTTGAGTAACTCGAGGGCATCTTCTAAAGTGATGGATCTGACATCCTTGATCTAGAATGGAGAGAAACAAGGAATATACAAATTAGTGTGCAAAGGAAATGGCATAAATCAAGAAGCATAAACATTGTTCTGCAGACCAGCGAGCTGATACACATGCATGAGATATAGGTAATAAGAAGATGAAGGTCCAATATTCTAAACTACATTACATGAGTTGCATAAGAATGAATGATGCATGTAAATATTTATGAAGAGATTTTTCCAAAGCTTCTTTATCACCTAAGGGGACTTCACACATGGTGTAAGATAACAAATATGGCATTTTAATAAACTTGATCAAGAGCCTCAAAGACTATCCCAGCAATGAAATACTAGAATATAAATTAATTAGCAACAGTTAACACACAGAATTACACAGATAATGAGGAAGTAGTTCTTTAAATGCAGAAAATAGAACAAAAATCGTACCCAAGACGCCGAAGCTCGCTTCGGTGCATGTCCCTTCACGTTGTCACCAAGCTGCACATAGGATCCATATGGGCCAGTCTTCAAGAAAACCTTAGTAAATGACAAAACAGTAAGTGAATCCAAACCAACAATATATTCACATACACAGCATCGATGGACAAAACAGTTACTGGTCACATATAACATTATACTTATGGTCAAATGAAAACCTTCTCATTGGTCCCTGGATTCAGCCCGAGCAACTTTGGTTCCTGCACATTGTTGGTCTTTTGGTTCTCAGGAGTAGCATCTTCATCATCATCGCCGTAGAGCGTTTTAGCAATATACCTGCACATAGCAAAGATCATTACAAAGCACACCCCAGATTAAATTATATACAACAGTCATAAAAATTTATACTCCACCATGTCCTGGTCTATACTCACTTGCATCTTGGGTGCTGATCGCAGCCAATAAAATATCCCGCACCAAACCTGCTCACTTTAAAAACTAATGTCCCCACCAGGCAGCTTGGGCAGGTTCTATTCCCATCAGGTAGTGAGGAAAACAAGAAACTGCCAAACGTCTTACCCAACATCTTCTCCACCTCGTGGATATGAACTTTGCTGGCGCTCTCACAGTACTTGCTAAATCTGGTCCAATAATCACTCAGAAGGCCCCTCCACTCGGTTATTCCTGCCGAGACATTATCGAGCTCACTCTCCATGTCGGCGGTGAAACTGTAATCCGTCACCTCAGAAAAATAATGAGAGAGAAATGCTGACACCATTCGGCCACGAAACTCCGGGCAGAGAGTCCGGCTTTTCATTGTTATGTAATTCCTATCTTTCAGAACCTTGATAGTGGTGGCATATGTGGAGGGCCTCCCTATGCCGAGTTCCTCGAGGTTTTTCACCAATGACCCCTCTGTGTAACGGGGCGGGGGCTGCGTTTGGTGTTTACCCAGTTCAACTTTAGTCAGGCACAGCACATCTCCACTTTTTAAGCTGCTCAAAATATCGAAGACTTCACTACGATGGTACTTGTCATCATCTTCATCATTCTGAATTTTTACGGACTCAGCATCCTTGTAAACAGCCTGAAAGCCCAGAAAATCCACCTTCGAGCAAGTGGACCGGAAAATAATGGACCGATTGGTGTTCGCAAAATCACACTGCAACTGTCTGATGACGGCGGGCTCCATCTGGCACGCCATCGTGCGGGCCCATATGAGAGTGTACAGCTTCAGGGCGTCCACGTCAAGGGCCCCAACGAGCGTAGATGGCAGCCTCCGGATATCGGTGGGACGGATGGCCTCGTGGGCCTCCTGAGCATTCTTCACCTTCTTGAAAAACCTGCGTCTGCTCTTGGCGGCAAAATCGGCCCCATACTTCTCAGCCACAAACGATTGGATGTCCTTTGCGGCCTCATCGGATAAGTGCAAGCCGTCAGTCCTCATGTAGGTTATGAGCCCCGTGGCCTTTCCGTCCGACAGCTGGACACCCTCGTAAAGCTTCTGAGCGACTTTCATTGTGTGCGATGCCGAAAAGTTCAATCTGTTGGCTGCATCTTGCTGGAGGGTCGACGTTATGTATGGCGTGGGTGGGTTTCTTTGGATTTTACTGGTTTTGGTACTGAGGACCACAAACTCGGATTGGTCGACCTTTTTATGAATATTTTCTGCCTCCTCACTAGAGCCAATTGACAACTGGCTCAGCTTCTGAGAACCGAAATGGGTCAAATGCGCTGAGAGGGAGATTTTGTTTGTCTGCCTTTGATCTTTCTTCTGGAACTGAGCATCAACCGTCCAGTACTCATTGGGTTTGAACTCGTCGATTTCTTTTTCCCTTTCGCATAGGAGGGCTAAGGCGGCAGACTGGACGCGGCCAGCGGACTGGCAGCCGGGCAATTTTCTCCATAGCAGAGGAGACACATTGAACCCGATGAGATAATCGAGAGCACGCCTCGCAAGATAAGCGTGCACCAAGTCAACATCGATCTCACGAGGTGCCTGGAGTGCATTTTTAATGGACGACTCAGTTATTTCAGTAAAGACAACTCTTGCTACTTGCACACCTTCACGCAGGGCATCCTGTTGATGCAACATTTCTATGATGTGCCAGGCAATGGCCTCTCCTTCGCGATCAGGGTCCGAAGCTAGAATAAGATTTTCTGCTCTGAAACAAGAGAGTATACCAGCCAATTAGTTGATATATAAAATATTACCAACAAAAAGGTAACATAAATAGCAAAAGAACAGGAAACATAATAAGAAAATCAAAGCCACAGAGAAAAGGTGAAACGTTCTTAATTAATGTCGAAGCAGGTCCAAGAATCAAAATGAAAAAAAAAATGTAATGACCCTATAAAAATAACAAAAGTTTATAACCATGAGGAATAACAAAAAGATTCCCATAACTTCTCCAAAATAAAATTTCATTTTTGTTCCCAATCATCCAAACATCATTAGCAGCGAAAAAAATGACAATAGTCTAATTTGTGTATTTCAATGTTTATGGATTATGGTTATGAATTACAATTTTGTTAAATATTATAAGAAAGCAAACAACAAAAATGATTTAGACAAAACAGTATTATAACCAAAATTAAAATAGTCAGAATGCTACATACCCGCTTAGTGCAACCTTAATACTCTTTAGATGAGACCAGGCAGGAGAAGGGACTTCCCACACCATACTGAAGTCATCATCAGGCCGCACTGATCCTGATCTAGCAGCCAAGTCTCTGACATGACCATAACTAGGAAGGACCTCGTACATATCACCAAGGTATCCTTGAATGACTTTGGCTTTCGTGACAGACTCAACCACAACGACTGATTTACCAATTGGCGGGTATAACTGGCGCCAAGCTTTTTTGCGTCCAGGTTTATTCTTATTGCTCGGTGGTGCACTTTTGCCAATTGAAACCGCCTTGCCATCACTTGACTGTCCTTTAGTCTCTTTCTTGGATTTCGGTGCAGAACTCCCTTTCCTTTCGTTACATTGTCCCTTTTTCTTCGCCATTCTGGGAATGTTATTTGTCGTGATATTGCTGGTAACCTCCTCGGTTGGAGAACTTGAAGTCAAATTATTCTGCACGCAAGCATTGGTTAGCCAAAACAATTGCATGTTGAGTAACTAATATCGAATTAGACACAGAAGAAATACTTCTAACTAACCTCTGATGAAACAGAAGATGCTTTACATTTGTTATTCATAATCTTTTTTGCTTGAGAATTTTTCACTGAGCTGCTAGGAGTGTCTGCTAAATCAACAGAAGCACACACGCTCGATGATTGTTTCTGTTTTTTCTTGCTTTTAGATTGATGTTTCACTTTCTCTTTGCCCTTGGGCATTCGACCACTGTTGCTTATGGTGGACTTCAAGCTACCCTCAACGTTTTCTCTACTTGATGAGGGCATATCGGCAATATTTTCCGGTGCTGATGCTTTTACTTCGGAAGTGCCACTTACCAATTTCTCTGTGGACACTGCATTTCCTTTGCGGGCACCCAAGGCCTTCTGCCCCTTGCGATGCTTTTTGAATTTTTTGAAAAACTCAACTTTCCTTGTACTGCCTCCGGCACCACCTTCCGTCATAACAACATTATTCCGGGTACCAGTTCTCGGAATCTGGGAAAATGACCTAGTACCAGTACAAAAATGATGACTTGGTCGAAGCCCACTCACCAACCCATAACATGAAATATTCATGGGCATTCGGGTGCTGGGAAGCTCACATCCAAGGGGCGGCCCAAATCTGAAGGAAGAAAACGAGCGAGGCCCATCAACAAGACTCCTCGGTGGATGATTTTTTATTCTGAGAGGAAATGATATTCCAACTCTTGGGAGATCATTTTGCAATTTCTGAACATTCAGAGATGCATACTTTAAGCAGATCCGGGGATATCTTTTAAATGCCCGGCTCTGCAACTGAAAAGATCAAAATAGAATTAAAAGACCAGCATGTAATACCAATACAGCAAAAACCATAAGAAACCCTTCTTCAAATACTTAATAAGGCACAGGACAGGAGACAATTGAAGACCAAGTCTGTCTTAAAACAATTTTAAGTAGAGTATACAAGTACTGGATTGTCTTAAATGGAACCACTAATCCCTATTTACGTCCTTCCTCCGTGAAAAGAAAAAGACTACTACTTTAGTGCTCTCTAATAACCCAACGTAAGTTCGCTTGGAACATTTCCAGATACCTCTAGAGAATGATAGTTTCATCACATTATTAAAAGCTGAACAACGTGCAACCGAGAAACAAATAACATCAAATCAAATATGAATTTTCAAACCAAAACAAATGAAAAGGCCTCCAATACGGTTGATGTTTTTTTTTTTTGTGCTTTTACCCTGTACCGAACAACACTGCTACTTGAACCCGTACTAAGAGGCCCCTGCACATTTCTCTTAATGAAATGATTCTGGTTAACAATGAATATGATTCTGACCTGAGTGACTTGGCCACAAAACCATGTCATGCCCATAACTGCATGCTTGATTTGTAAATCCATTCTGCAATATAAAAAATTAAAGGCTATTCTCAGCCGATGAACGGAACATCCAAATCAGTGACAAGAAAAAATGAAAAATTTAAAATCAGCAAATAGCCAATGTCAACCAAAACGTTCCTCAAGAGACAAAATCACTAACTAGAGTGGGAGCCATCACCAGTTATTCTCAAAATTAATTTCTCAATATGATTCAATTAAGACTTTTACAGACATGTATCAATGGAGACAAGTACCGAACGGCGGGTGGAGGAGGTTCAAGGGGTGCTTAGCCGATTTTGGAGCAGAGGCCGACGAAATGTAGTGGCGAACTGTGGTAGTGAGGAGGGACGGCGGTGACTAACCGGTGCGCCGGCGGTGGTGAGTGGTGAGTGGTGAGAGGAGAGGCGCTGCGAAGCTGAGAGACTACAGAGGGATGTATCAAGGTTTAGGGCGTAGCTTTAGATACCAACATTTTCATCACAATTAGTGTCGTGAGAAATGACATAACTATATAAGTCGAACAAAATGTTACAAGTACATAATAAATGTTCGGTGAGCACCCACAAAAAGTAAAGTTCACTTAATTTTTTATTTTTTTGTAGGTTCCACTCAATATGATTACACCTTGTACAATATTATGTACTTATAACATTACTCATATAATTAATTGGTGAGTAATATCAACGCTCCCCCGAAAAATAAAGAATGAAATCAAATAAAGACTGTTAAAGAAAAAAAAGTCAAATAAAAGTTGTTTGAATATCATCAAGGCTAGTACAACATCGAATGAAATCAAATAAAGACTGTTAAAGAAAAAAAAAAGTCAAATAAAAGTTGTTTGAATATCATCGAGGCTAGTACAGCATTGAAGAATTTATACTTTAAAACTTTATTTTGACAATATATTAACTAGTTGGCTCATTTATATTAATATAAATTACCTTAAATATGTATTTACTTTTCGATATAAAAATTTTACTTACTTTTTTCATTATAATACTTAAAAATTATTTTATTCTAAAATTTATTGTCATATAATTTTATTATTATTATTTATAACACTTATAAAAGAAGTATTTTATTAAGTAATGATAAATATTTAATGTGCATTAATACTATTTATTGGTGTAATTAATTAAAAAATATATAAACAAATTTCAAATAAATACTATGTCGTATATGCATTATTGAATTTATAGAATTTATCATATATCATAATAATTGAAAACAAAATTGTCTGTATATACATATATCTATTTGTATGTGTGTGTGGTTTAATGACAATATTAAATATATAAACATATAAAAGAACATTAGTAATTAGACAGTATAAC